CAACAGCAGAGAAACAGAAAGATATGACAGGGTGAGAAAGATGTCAAAAGAGAAAATTTGAGTGACAGCAGACCCTAGAGGCAAATGTTGACCTGGTGACCCACTGTAGTTCAACTCTGACTTCTTCCTCTGAAATCATCTTGCTTTCTCAAAAGACTTCCTTCTTCTACACTGAAGACAACATCAGCAAAGATCAAAGAAACACAGTAGTTGGATACAGTGGCTGTAGCCAGGTAAAATACTCACAAGAATTTTAATGAAGCATATTGTACACCAAATTTAACCCTTCCGTTTCTTCTGTTTCACAGGTTTTCTGAACCAGATGAATAACTCAAGCCACTCTGTTCTTCAGCCTTCATTCCAAGGATGCATGCAACTCATTCAAGTTGATGATCAACTTGTAAATTTGTACGAAGTGGCACAAAGGAAGCCAGGAAGTTTCGCCAATGTCAGCATTGACATGTGCGCCATCATAGACAGGTAAATGGATTTATCATCCTACCTCAAGTTGTCCAAACTTTCCAAATTCATGTTTCTGTTGTGGGACCACTGAAACACCCAAAAGGAAAATAAGAAAAACAAGCAAACAAACAATCAACGAACACAAAAACACCTAAGGCAAAAGTTATCATTCAAAATGTCTATTGTAGTATATTTGGGATGTTAGCAGTGACGACACTTACATCCTTACATGGATATGTGTGATAGAAGCAGCTGTGGTGTCACATGGTCCATCAGCTTCCCTCAGAGCATGTGACCCTCAGGCAAGTAGTTCTACAAGCAACAGCTGTGTGGTACAGAAACTCTGAGAGTTTATTTTGAGTTTTGCTTTCTATGCCCACAACCAGAAATGTCCCTTCTCTTTCCTGTCTCGGTCATGACTGGGCCTCAGCATATTGTCCCCTCCAAAGCTCCTTCCTAAAAGAAGAGAAACATTACAAAATATTGGTGAGCAATGTGGAAACTTACTGAAACAGAACATTTAGAATAATTGAGTTTGCTTACAAAATATTACAAAATCTAGTCTTTATTGATTTTTACAAATCTGGGAGGAGTTTTTATGAAAACTTTAATTAAATTCTCGCACAGTGGAAAATACAACTTTTATGTGAAATATTATGATAGTATTGCATACACTACCCTAACATACTTCTAG